AAAAAAAAAAAAAAAAATTTATGTACTCATAGATTCTAAGATCAGAACTCAAGGCTAAGGAATAGAAATCATAGCAGTCTGTTTTAAGCTATTTGTTATAAAGACATCATTGTTGTAAAGAATCACATGTTTAGAAGATACCCAGGAACAAAACACCAAACCTAACTGCAAACCTAACTCAAGAGGGAACCTCAGATACGTGAGGTAAGCAAAGTACTGTAAAAGATGAAAACTTACACGAAAACCTTCCCTAGTAAAAAGAACTTCAAATTTTCAGTGATGCATTTACACAGAATCATGAGCATCTATAGAGAAGATGAGGCAATGCCTGCTCCTCACAGACAAGCTATGGGATGGGCTAGGTAGGTGCCAGGAGGGCAGGGTGCTTTCTACAGGTAGCCAGCAAGCAAGGGCCCGAGGGGGGCTCACGGTAGCTCAAGAGCACACTGAGCAGCAGAGGAGCCACTGCAGTGGCCGGAACGACCACTCTGTTAACAGGAGAAGTCACACTGCACCTTAACCTTCCCCTTCCCCACAGAAATGGTGCCTTTGCTCCAGTTCTTCTGTCACCAACACTACCCTCCACTGTGTCCTCACCTGTCTGACGATGCTCTGGATCAGTTTGTCCATGGTGAAGGCAATGTAGGCATGAATGGTGAACATCTCTCTCAGAGAATCCTCATACTGTGATGAGTCTATGTTGCCATCAAGCAGGCTCCGCACCATGTCCAGGAAAGCTGGGTAATAATCTTCCACGTCAACATCCACTGTGGGAAAGATGGGACAGGTGAAGTTTCAGCCTTATAAGAAAAGCTCAGGTGCCACATGCCTCGCAAGCACAAGGTTCCAAGTTTGATCCCCAGTACCAAAAAAAAAAAAAAAAGATCAGGGATGAAGAACAAGGCAAATCCCACAGCTAGCCTCTAGTGTCTGAAGGACAAAACTAGCTACCCAGACCATGTCCAAGCAGCCCCCTGCAGACAGAGCTGAAACCTGACAGATGGGATCAGTCACAAGGTCATCTATCCTGAGAGTGGCTTGGCAACTCTGCCCATGTGAGAAAGAAACCCAAAAGCAGTGCCAGGCTCTGCATGATGGGTGCACTGAACACCCCAGGAAGAAGGCCCCTTCCAAGTGGCAGGCTCTCAGCCTGCATGAGCCCATCCCTCCCGGGGTCACTTGCTCATAGTGCTATTTCAATGAATCATGGTGTGTAGAGAAGGGCAGGCACAGCTGTATAATAGCACTGGGAAGTCACTCAGGAACATAAGAATAAGAGTGCAAAATTAAATTCTCTATGAATAATGAAGTAATCTACATTTGTCAAAGTCATTTTGTTTAAAAATGGATTTGCAACATTGTACTTCACAAATTGCATTAAATGATCTGTACTTACTGTACATAAATCATTTCATCCGCCAGCAAGGAAGAATCTTATTAAAGAAACATGTGGCAATCAGCAGAGGGTATAAGGACTGGGGAAGAGGCATCTTTAGCTGACTAACATAAGACCCATCTATGTGAAGCGTGAAAACTAACCTCTAGTGTGAGAAATCAAGATAGTAGCACAAAGAGGCTACTGGGGTCTTGGTTGTGTTCTTTCCTGATCTTTCTTGAACACAACAGTATTCACTGTGGAAAAATTCCTAAAGTTCATGATTCTCATTTGTATTTTTTTCTGTATATGTGCTGAGCCTCAATAAAAAGTTGACAAACATGAAAAAAATTACAAAAAGGGGCGGGGACTGAGCTCGGTGCTGCCGCCTGTCTTGCAAGCACAAGATCCTGAGTTCAATCCCTGGTACCAAAAAAAAATTATAAAAAGAAAACTTCATTAATTGGCCACCTGTTTAGTTAGCATTTATATAGCAGAAAAATGGCTAAGAGCAAAACTGAGTCTATCCATTTATCTGAATTGTGATGGAATTATTACAGACAGGCAAAACAGGACAATAGTTCTTTAAAATGAACAGCTGCCTTGAGTTAGTCACAGTATATCACCTATTTGAGCCTACAGAATGGACATGCACAAGGACTCTGTAATATGCAGCGGCTATGAAAAATGCCTTTATGCCAGAATAAAGAATAAAGAGCAGTCCAAACCATAGATGTGTACATACAAGCTCTGGCCAGTGTGAGAGCTGGCACCGCCACTTAAGAGGGAAACTGTGCAAGCTCATACCAGGTAAGTCAATAGTCAATGCCAGGATTAGATCATTTCTGTCTCTAACTTTTTTCAGTTCAGGCTGGCCTTGAACTCAAGCAAGATTGCTCCTTCCTCAGCCTCTTGAGGGCTGGGATTACAGGTGTGCATTGCCAGAGTCAGCTTTTGTCTCTAACTTCTACCAAAGTAGAAAGAATCACTATGCTTAGGTCCAAAATTTGTCTCTTTCAAGTCATGATTGATCAAGAAAAAGGCTTTTAGAATTCTGATTATCTTAGGCATGAATAAGTAGGAATGTATGTTCTTGTCATGGAGTGGGAAAGGACTGCTACATTTTAGTCTCTGTCCTTTGAAACACTGGGCAATAACTCAAGAAATCTGACACTTGGGCAACCGATTCCCTACCCCTGGTATGTCCACAGCACTAACCACTGCCTAAGCATCCATGTCCCAAGCACTACACAGCATCCTACACATTTATTTCCTACTTCCCTCAGAAACCCTGTAAGGTAACAATTAGCTCATGCATTTTACAACCAAACAGGGTCACAGTGTTTAAGTAAGGTCAGGAAATAAGAAAGTAGCAGAGCCAAGATCTGAATCCTTGCTCATATCCAAGGCAGTCCTCCCCACCCCCCAGCCCTGAGGTCTCTAGCCTACATGTGCTCCTCACACCCACAGTCTCAGCACTCACTAGGCTCCTTGAGACGAAGCTGGATGGCAGGACTATCACTCTTGTCTCGCTTTATGCCTAGCACCTCTCGTTCCCATTCTCTCTCTCGATTTTCCTCCTCAATTTGCCGTTCAGCTTGGGAACAAATCCGTAGCAGCCTCAAGCACAGAATCTGGTGCAGTCGCATAAAGATATACCAGTTGTTATTGACATAGAAGAGGTTGTACACTTCATCCATCCCCCTTAATTTCTGAGCTGCTGTGTTACTGAACAGGAGCTTGGACTTCGGAGGGCTGCCCCCAACACCATTGTGCTTCTTGGCTGCCCCTGTGGTTTCCTCTACATCCATCTCTTCTTCTTCTTCTTCCTCCACATCTGAGAGGTCACCTCTCTGAGCAAACAGCAGATCTGGAATGAAATGATGCATGATCTGCTTGATTTTATACTTGTCCTCCTTCTGAATGCCTGTCTGCCTCTTCACATGATGGATAATCAGAGCGGCGGCATCTTCCAAGATCTGCTTGTCTTCATACGCCAGTGACAGGTGTGGGCCAACAGGGACACCAGCATTCTCTTCTGTAGCCTGCTCTTGCCTCTGACAGGAGACACAAAAGTATTCCCTGAATGTTAATAGCAGCAACAAACCTGAACCACACCAGTTATTAACTGCAGTGGCTGCTCAACCCAAAACATAGGAACTGACCTTAACAAGAATATTTGTGCCTCTCCCAGAAACAGGTAGATGAAAAAACACTGGTACCTTACAGACTTCGGGGTTTTTTTTCTTTTTTTGGTACCAGGGATTGAACTCGGGACCTTGTGCTTGCAAGGCAGGCAGCAGAACCACTGAGCTAAATCCCTGGCCCGAGACTCTGATGACATATAGGGACAATGGGACAGAAATGAAATTATCTTTTAAAATTCTGGAATAGTATTTATAGAAGATATGATACAAGGTCTGGGGGTATGGAAGGTGACAAAGTACAGCACTGACAAAAAGAATCCCGGGATTGCTGCTAAATTTTTAAGTTATGGTAAGCTGAAATGTTCCACACAAATACAACGAACTGCTTTAGGGAATTAGATGGTGGGAGAAGTGGGAGGAGAGGTGGGAGGTGTAAACTGAAACTGGGATGAGAAATTAGGGAATTAAGATAGGGTAAGCAGAGTAGGCTTAGGTTTGAAATGGTAGGATCAGGAATATAAAATGTTGTGACAGTCTTGAGCAAGAATCAGCACATCTTGGAGGGACTCAATTTCTTCTAACGAAGAATTTCAAGGAACCAACGCTATGCTGAGTGTAAAGACTGGCATTTTCACATAAGTAACTGCCCCCTGCCAGCTCACCTCATCATAGATACTTTCAATCTCATTGAGTAAGCTCTTTGACCTCAGGACCTTCGTGTCATTCTGTTTAAAGTTGATGCCCTGGTGGTCTAGAGACTTCAGGTAGTATTTCTCATTTTGTTCTCGCCACACCTTGTTAAATCCTCTTTGAGCTTCTCGCCACTCTTCCTCTTTCATCTTCAACCTAGCAGGGTGGGGAGGAGAGCAGAAACAAAAACACATAGGAATTCAAAGAGTTTAGAAATGGAAAACATGTCAGACTTACTTTACCTCAAAAGTGAAAGAGGGGCTGGGAATTTAGCTCAGTGGCGCCCGCGCCTGCCTTGCAAACACGAGGTCCTGAGTTTGATCCCCCATACCAAAAAAAAAAAAGGCAAAAGATCTGTAAGGTCTATTGTGATTTTGGCAACTTGAGATAAATGTTACCAGTCTCAAACTTTTCTATAAAGGGAAAATACTCATTTGGGACTTATATGGGGGAGCAGGGGAAAACGTGTCCTAAAGTCAGAAATCTCTCTTAGCATAATTAGTTCTCAGAGAGAATCTCAGGGTCTGGAGATGTAGCTGAGTGGTAGAGTGGTAGAGTCTTCCATGGAAGAGGCCTTAGGTTCAATTCCAAAGTACCTACACACAATTTTTTTCTATTTTTGTTGAAGAAACAAGAAAAGCACTCTACAGCATACCCTTGGGATATCAGTAAGTTCTTTTTGGTACCGGGGATCAAACTTAGGTCCTTGCACTTGCAAGGCAGGTGGTGGAACCACTGAGCTAAATCCCCAGCCCTCAGTAAGTATTCTTTGAAAAGAGGGTCTTCTTCCTTTGCTACCAAACATAAATCTGTTTCTCTGCTGCACAACTCTCAGAACATTTGCTGTGCTGATGGCAATGCAAAGTCTAAGAGAGAGGAGAATGGGCACAAGATCGTTGCTTTGGAAAGTCTGCGAAGCTCTGATCAGAATCGCTGATTCTCCAGGAGAGGAGAATAAAAACCAAAAGCAGCAGCACAAGTAAATTCACCAGATGAATTGCTGCTGTGACAGGAAGAGGAAGCAGCACTGATCTCTGCTAGCTCCAGAGGGCTACCGTGGGGGATGTGAAAGTAGATATCAGGGCTCAGCCTTGTCTCCCATCTTCCACATGACATAAGTCTGACAGGCATGCATGTTACCTGAAGTAGTGTTTTTCGTTGTTGCTGTTTGTGGTACTAGGATTGATTCCAAGGTCTTTACACTGAGCTAACTTCCCAGCCCTTTTTATTTTTTATTCTGAGACAGAGTCTCACTAAGTCCCTAAGCTGCATAGGACGGACTCAAACTTGTAATCCTCCTGCCTCAGCCTCCCATAGTGCTAGAATTACAGTTATTTGCCCTCATGCCCAGTCGAAAGAAGATATTCTTGGTAAACATGGCAAATTAAATCTTTTTTATAATGATCATGTATTAAATTTTTAAAAGACAAAGAGTGGTTTTTCCTACAAAGAAAAAAAAAGCAAAAGAGGGCCAGGAATTTAGCTCAGTGGTTCTGCTGCCTGCCTTACAAGCGCAAGGTCCTGAGTTTGATCCCCAGTACCAAAAAAAAAAAAA